GAAATTTAGTTTAAAAAGAGAAAAACGAGATCTGAGAAAATAGATATGAGATCTGAGAAAAGAGAAAAGAGAAAAGCGAGATTTGAGAAAAAAATGTTGAGATCTGAAAAAAAAAAAATTTGAGATTTGAAAAAAAAATAATGGATAAAAAACTGAAATCTGGAAAAAAAAAGACAGAAAAAAAATTTAAAAATTCAAATTATATGAGTCAAAGAAGAAGAACAATATAGTAATACTGAAAAAGGAGAGTGACATTTTTACAAAACTTTTTAAAATGTGACATTTTTGTAAAATAGCATGGAGCATGTGACATTTTTTAAAATTTCTCTATCTTATATACAACTAGTGTAAAAACAATGAATCAAAATTATATCAAAGTTTTATCAAAATGTTTATCAATCATCTATTTTTTTTAATAAACAGTAAGAGTTCCAAACCTTTGGATCATAATATCTTCGATATCCAGAGTCAACCCTTAAATATTCCGATTTAAATGATAATATTTCGTATCAAAAGGAGTTTGAATCCAGAATACAAGAGAATCAACCCTCTTATGTTATCACTAGGTCACCATGCCTTTAGTATTAACCATCTATCTTTGGAAATAGTCTTTAATTTCAAACATTTATGAACTAAACTCCATATAAACCTAGACTTAGCTTTTAACCATATAGAGTTCCTACAATTATGACATATTATCATCTAGCACCAACAGCATCAGGCCATCAGCGAGCAAACATCGTAATCTCCATATAAAATTAATACTAAAATTTTAATATAAGTTTTGGAATATCACATACGTATATAGACATGTCCTTCTCACATTATTGTAAACCGAACCTATAAACAAAATATTAGAATAAATATATTCCAAAGCAAACCTAAACAAAGATCTAAAATATCCATGTCTAGCTCTCTGAAAAGAAAAAGAAAAAAAAATCAATATAAAATCTCCAAACGATTTAATTTTTTAAAAAATTACTTTTTCTGTATATAATTTAAATCCCAAAATACAATAACTTGTGATTATGTGTTTTTAGTAATAGTTCTTTTTTTTTTTGAAAATTAATGATTTAAATCATTTTTTTATTTTTTAGAATGCATGAATAAATCCACATAAATTACAAGTAGATACACATGGCTGCAAAGGCATGATTAGACTATTACAAGTGGCCAATCAAAAGGTGACTTGTGAGCAATCAGTGAGACGTGGCTTAAATTTATTGGAGGGATATGACAAATCTATCTTCTTTGTCTAAATGGTGCTTCCATATATTTGTTTAGCTGTCTCATCTCAACGACCAATTCTCCGACAAGATGCACTATTCGTTTTGACAAGCAAAAAATATCATCGGGCTTAAATTTTCCTGATGATGTTTTATATGCTTTCACTTCCAGTCTCAAGTTTATCCCAAAAAAAAAAGTTGCAAGACCATCACCCACTGACATTAATTATAACCAAGAATCCATTACAAACTATTCAGTCCAATAGTTTAGACAAGTTTGGTGTTCTCCGTTTCAGAATCCACAACCTTTCCCGAATTGTACGATTTTTGAATTCGAAAGTAGATTGTTTAGCATGCTCTTCTTCCTTTAGATTATCTGAATTTCCATTTGTAAATATTTATTTTTCAGATAAGATCACCAGTCAAAGGAGTTTGAGGTTATTTATTTATGTGTGTTTGATAACAACAACAACAACGAAAATCGATATATCTTGACGTCCATGTAAAAATTGATTTATCACTAATTAAGATATAATCACCAAGGATAAAAATCTATCTCCTATTCGATCAATATGACAAAACATTCGGCAGAAACTACATAAAAAACTACATAAACTATGTAATTCTATTATTTATCTAGCTGGAATAAGTTAGTTGTTTAGAATCGAATATTTTTATCATGTTATCTGGCTAAGATTTACAATTTTTCATCTTGTCACATCACATGCATGCCGACATTACGATGGGTAGTGCATTAAAATGAATGTGGGCAAGATTAAATGTTTTGCGACATACAAATAAATTAACATGTCGTGCTGAATTTGGTTACGGCGCCGAAATGCATGCATGATGTAGTTTCCAAATGACCTAATTAACCATTTTTCAGTTTATTCTTTTTGGGATCGTTACCAAATTTCGATTATATATATCTCACACCTAAAATGTGTCTATATTATATACTTGGTTTTCTTATGTAGTATAATCGTAACCAATTTGCAAATGTTCCTTCGATTTACTTTGGATGAGTTATTTGTGTTTCAAGCAATTATGAGGTAAGTACGTAGGTCAGAAATTTAACTAGCTATGAGAATAATTTGTAATATACGGTTTCAAGAGCACCTCCATTGCTTAAAGATGAGTCTCTCATATACTATAATATTATTTATAAAATAGTTTAATTATTTGTTTAAATTTTAAAGTATAAAAAAATCTAAACCAATCATAAGAAGCTATGTGTCAAATGCGTCTCTCTACATTTTTTTAGACTCGCCTTCTTCACTCTTAGTTTTTTTTTTTAAATTTTTAAAAATTTTTAATAGGTAAGAGACTCATGGAAAAACCTCTATTGGAAGTGCTCTAAGAGATATAATTTCTTTTTTTTTTAGAATTAGAGGATGATTCGGGTTTTTACCACCATACTAATCCTCCCAGACTGAGTGTAACCGTCGAGTAATCCACTTAACAGGTTTTCAAATAGACCTAAAACGTGACACCACTTCGATTGGTCAAATGAGAGTGGTTAGATAATTTTGCGTTTGAAGATAATTGAACTCTGACCTAAACCCATAAACAATTTTTCCATAAATAGAAATCACTAGTCCACCACTATTTGGTTAAG